TTTTTTTTTTTTTTTTTTTTTTTTACTGCTGAGTGGTATTAACTAGTGTAAGTGTACCACGATTTTTTATCCATTTTTCTGTTGATGACCATTTGGATTATTTTGAGTTTGGTCTTATGTGGGTAAAGCTATTAGGAACGCTAATGTTTATATCGTTAGAAAATTTCTAGGTTAACAGCTTCACTGAGATAAAATTCACATACCATAAGGTTCACCCTTTTAAAAATGTATACAATTCAGTGGATTTTAGTATATTCAGAGTTGAGCATCAACCACCACGATCTAATTCTAGGAACTAAAACCCCATACCCATTAGTAGTCACTCCCCAGCCCCCTCCCCTCACTCCCTGGCAACACTGATCTACTTTCTATCTCTGCATTTGCCTGATATGGACATTTCCTATAAATGGAATCATACAATATGTGGACTTTTGTATCTTTTTTCACTTTAGAGTAATGTTTTCAGTGTTCATCTGTGTTGTGGCATAGTCCAGAACTTCATTCCTTGATATGGCCTAATAATTTTCTGCTGTATGGATCTGCCACATTTTATTGTGCAAGTTTTTGGAGGACATGTTTATATGTTTTCTTCCTCTTGGATAGGTATCTAGGATTGGGGCTGCTGATTATAGGATAGCTGTGTATTTAAGAAGCTGGGAGAAAGTTCTCCAGTGGGGTTATGCCATTTTATACTCCTACAGGCAATGTATGGAGAACCCAGCTTTTCTTCATATCTTCTCCAATATTTGATATTGTTATTTTGTTTTTTTTTTTACTTATTTTTTTTTATTTTCCTGGCTTTATTGAGTTGTAATACACAAGTACAATGTATATATTTAAAGTGTACCGTGTGCTGATTTGATCTACATTTTGTGAAATGGTTGCCACAACCAAGTGTCAATTAACATATCAGCTCACGTAGTTACCTTTTCTGCCTATATGTGGTGAGAACACTTAAGATCTGCTCTCTCAGCAAGTTTCAAGAGTACCATACGGTATTATTAACTGTAGCCATTATGCTGTACAGATCTATAAGTTTGTTATGTTTTTTGATGGTATTGCAAATCGATACCATTTGCAATAAAAAATTTGTCTGTTTTCCAGTTTTATTGAGACGTAATTGACACATATTGCTATATAAGTTAATGGTGTAGAGCATGATGGTTTGATTTACATATATTGTGAAATGATGACTACAGTAGGTTAACGAAAGAATTCTCCTTGTGACGAGCACTCTTAGGATCTACTCTCTTAACAACTTCCCTGTATGTCACACAGCAGTGTTCGCTATAATCACCATGTTGTATATTACATCCCTAGTACTTATTTATCCTATAACTGGAAGTTTGTACCGCTTGGCACCTTCCTTTAAAAAATTTCACTTCTGAATTAGTTTCTGGTGGCGTACAAAAATGCAATCTATTTTTCTACATAGGCCTTGAATCTTGCATTTTTATCAGACTCACAATTCCAGTAATAGTTTTATAATCCAAAGTAATTTGTAATTGCTTTGTGTTTTCTATACAATCAATCATGTTATCTGTGAATAAACACATGTTAACTTTGAAATCTTTTGAAAACTCGACTCTAATTGAAACGGAAATATGGGCTGTTTCTACTCTAGCCTGCAGGATGTCATTTAACGGGTTGATAAATATGTATTTCATAATGAAAGTAGCCATTTTTTGAACTGAGAATCTTGGCAATAGTTGGTTAAGCAGACTTGTCATAAAAAAAGAATTAGGGCTTGGGATGTGGAACAATCTTGTTATGAAAGAATTATCGTTATGGTAATATTGTAGCAAATTGCTCATGTGAAAAGTTCCATTACAGTGGTATTTTGTACTTAGAGAAAAGTGTGCTTTATCCTTCCTTTTTCACTATAGGTGGGCAGATATTGTTACTGATCTCAACACTCAAAATCCAGAATATCTAGATATCCGACACTTAGAGAGGGGGCTGCAGTATCGAAAAACAAAGAAGGTAAGAACACCATTGTATCTGAAGATATTTCCCAAGCCGACAAAAGGCACTGTTTTACTCAGTACTCCTTAGGTTGTAAATAACAGAAATCCAGTTCAGATTATCTCAGATAGAAGAGTGAAAATTATGTTCAGGAAAGAGGGGTATCTTTAGAATGAAAGCACAAGGAGGCTAGCCCGGAATCAGAAGGGTCTGGTACCTGGTAAAAGAATGGTGGCAGGGGCCAAGTAGCTTCTCTGTCTCATTCTTCTGGGAGTTACATGTTGTTCTTATCTGTCTGAATATTTACTTTCTGAAGATCAAGAACTTCAACTTATGTCTCCCTTTCAGGTGAGCAGTCTAGATAGGCTGAGAGTGGCCTGCCCAGGCTCAGTCCCATAGTTTTGGCCCAGCTTGGGTCAGGTGTTCACTTCTGAGCCAAATGAACTGTGGCCATGAAGCAGAGTCATGTGTACAAACAAGGAGGCTTGGGGAGGTTCTCAGTGAAAGTAGATTCTGTGGATTGAGTTGACATTCCACTGATATGGTCCTACTAACATCAAGAACATATAGGAGACAGGAAGAGGAATGATCTTGGTGTTTGGATTGGGCAGATGGGGAAGCAGCAGTGTGTGTGACCAGTGGAGAGTCATATGGGTGGTGGGGGGGTTGTTTTGGCTCCTGTGGGCATTGTTATATTTTTGTAAAGGCAGCTGGTCAAGAATGATGCAGGATAAGGTGATCTGATGATATCTGAAAAGGCTAAGTACTGTTTTGAGGCAGGTGAAGGGGGAAAAATAAGGCAATTCATAGGAACCCACATTATTAGTATAATTAATTTCCTTTCACTTTCTTAACCCAACCTTTTTTTTTTTTTTTCTTCTCAGGTTGGGGGAAATTTGCATTGCATCATAGCATTCCAGAGACTTAATTGGCAACGATTTGGCCTTTGGAACTTTCCATTTGGAACCATTAGACAAGAATCACACCCTCCAACACATGCCCAGGGAATAGCTAAATCTGAGAGTGAAGATAATATCTCCAAGAAGCAGCATGGGCGCCTGGGCCGGTCTTTCAGTGCTAGTTTCCATCAGGACTCGGCATGGAAAAAGATGTCCAGTATCCATGAGAGAAGGAACAGTGGTTACCAGGGTTACAGTGATTATGATGGGAATGACTGACCATGTTGGGTATTGAACAACTTGTGTTATACACATGACTGCTCTATACAAGACTGCATTAAGACAGTAGAAGGTTTTATTAAGTCTACACTAAATAGGAACAGAGCTTGTGGTACAAAATATAACCTTGTAGTTCTCCAGTAAATAAGCTTGTATATGATTATGATGGGTGATTTCAGATATAGAAGCAGGTAAGCACAGATTATTGTCCTTTTAAAGAGTATATAAACATTATGGACAATTTCACAAAATCCAATAAAATTACATATAAACAAATCAAACACAAATTCACTTAATAGCATCATGATTTGAAATACTTAAGCATGAAGTGGTTTCTTATAACTCGATCGCCATACATTTGTTGCAGATAGTTTTATTCCTAAACTCAAGATAAAAGGTACCATCTGCCCTTTTAAAGAAAATTGGGGCTGTTGATTTCTAGCTTTCTCTCATGGTTAAAGCTCATTTAAAATTATTTAGTGAGTCTAGAATTCTTTTACTTGCAAGCAGCATCTTGCCTGCCTCATTTGTTTCCTGACTAACTTTTTCAGGATCCTCAATAAAGAGGCAAAGCAAAGACTCAAGAAACTGATCTTTTCTATTGGTGCATTGATTCGGGATATTCTTGGCTTTCTTGACTTGGTATGTTACCATCCAACATTGACAAGATCTTCAGGCCTTGAAAGACTTCTGTCTACAGTGAACCTTGTTTTGGGATAGAATAAAAGAAAAGTGGAATTCAAAGTTTCTATATCCAAGGTAATCTGTGAAATGAGATCTTCCAATATTTGACTGGTTCCTGAGTGTGGAGTCCTATGTTGTTAACAGCATTAAAGATGCATTAGGAATGCCATTGCCACTCAGAGGACAAATATCCATATTCCCAACTCTGAGCTGCTTCCTTTTTTAAGTCATACAATTAGCTGTTTGTAGTGAGTGTTAAATAGTTCAGAAAGAGTGGATTTCATGTATTTCAGCTCCTCTCTAGTTGATGTCAATTTTTTTTCTGCTGTCAGCCTGTGACATGTTCTTTCATTTCAGGGGCTGTTCATGACTCAAATCAGTAACTTGATTCTTACAAGGTGCTGAATATGTTGGTAACCATATTGCAATACACCTCAAGGAGAGGGTTCAGATTTTTATTTTTAAAATATTTTCATTTTCTTCTCTTTTGAATTTTATATCCATTTATCCACTCAGACATGCCTAGCCTACAGACAGGGATATATATTGTGAAATGGTCATTTTTCTGAAGAGAATATTTTGCGTGAAATGCAAAGGACTGAGAGATTTGTAGGTTGTTGATTTTGTTACTTCACACTGGAACTTTTAAGAAGTTTTCATCAAATAAAGTTTTGTTTTCTACTTTTAATAATGTGAATATTGTGAACCTTTCTTTTACATAGGGAGTACCCTTGGAATTCGGTTTGAAGCCCGTGACAATTCCGCCTAAGTAGTATAAGAAACCATCTTATATCTGATTTTTATAATCAATGAAACAATATACGTTATGACTATAATTTTAGATTCCTGTAAGACTACATAACAGGAAGTAGAAAATTTAATTATATAAGCTTGGACCAAACAAAGTTGTCATTTTTGTAGGTCAAACATGGTTGAATATCAGCAGTTTCATAGAGTTTAATGAAATATTTAAGAGAAGAGGTAGATAGGAGGAACCAAGAGGAAAGGAGACAAATGCCACATGGAGAATACAGTGACACCTAGGAAAAGAGGATGAGTTTATACAGATTGCCTATTGGCCATAAATAATTTTAGAAAAGTCTTGATATATAGGATTACTTAATAACTTGATATACAAGTTTGGCAGTTATTAAGAGCATAGTAGGGTTTACAGAGACTAATTTTCCAAAAACTATATGGAAGTTACTGTACACTTCTCTTTCAAGATTAGTAACACTCCTGTCCTATTTGATTTATTGGTCATCTCTTCCTAGGAGTCTCCATAGAAGCACTGAAGGCTCAAATACTGGCTCTATACTTGCTAGCTGTATCCCGTAGGGGAAGTTAAGATGAATATTTCTGTGTTTATTTCCTCATTGGTAATATGGGGATAATATCATGTATTTTACAAATTGTTTTGAAGAATAAATAAGTTAATGCACGTACAGTGTTTAGAACAGTGATTTGTAGATAGTCCTTGCTATCATTTCTCCAAAAGATGTGTATTTTACTGCTCAGAATGTTGACAGTGAGCCCTTTAAGCAGCATCTAAAGGAACCAATTCACTGTAAGTCAAATATACACCCCTTAGTTCCTGTTCCTTCAAAAGAATATTTTGTACTCAAGAAATGTTGCTCTGGTTTTAAAAGCACTTCTAATACTCAAATGCCTTCATTGGCTATTTGTTTTTACTCAGCTCTTAGGCATAAAAAATGTTCATTTAGATCAAATCCTGAAACTGTTCCTTTCCCTACTACTGTGTCCCATCTTTAGGCCAAGCTGGTGCAGCAGCAAAAACACTTCCAAATTTTCCTTTTCCCAGACACCTAACAGAGCTCAGGCAAGTTGCTCTGTGAGCCATCACAGTTTGTACATTAGTTTTACCCGTAGCATATTCTCCTTCAATCATTAATTTAACACACTAATTTTATTTTAAATTCTTTTTTTAAGTTTATTTGTTTTGAGAGAGAGCGCGCGTGCACATGCATGAGTGGGGGAGGAGTGGTGAGAGAGAGGGAGAGAGAACCCCAGCAGGCTCCACGTGGGTCCCGGGCTGGGTCCATTTCAGGAACTATGAGATCATGACCTGAGCCAGGATCGAGTTGGACACTTAACCGACTGAGCTACCCAGGCCCCCCTCAACAAAATAATTTGAGCACTATGACCCCTTAGGTGTTTCATATTAAATCACTGACCTCAGAACGACCCCAGGGAGGTGGCATCTCCACTTTATTCAGACTCTCATTGGTGAAGAAACTCGCTTAGGATCATATGGTGTCTTCTACCATACAGACTGGGTGGCTTAAATAACACATTTATTTTCTCACAGTTCTGGAGGCTGGAAGTCCAAGATCAAGGTGTTGACAGGTTTGGTTTTTCCTGAGCCTTTCTCTTTGGCTTGCAGATGGCCACCTCCTAGCTGTGTCCTCACATGGTCCTCCCCAGTGTGCACATCCCTGGTGTCTCTCTCTGTGTGCCCCAAATTTCCTCTGATAAGGACGCCAGTCAGATTGGATTAGGTTTACCCTCACAACCTCATTTTAACTTAGTCACCTTTAAAAGGCCCCATCTCCAAATAGAGTCACATTCTGAGGTGCTGGCTGGGGTTTAGGGCTTTAACATCCAAATTTTAGAGGTGCACACAACTCAGCCCACAAACACAGGGCTATTGTGTGGCTCACTCAGGATTTGGACCAAAGGCTGCCAGGCTTGCGGGGAAATTCTCTTTCAGGGGGTGCAAGATGTACTGGAGAGCTTTAGATTAGAGGCCGACAGAGGTCATTTAGGGGGTATTTATGGAATCCCTAAGTGTTGGGAGTGGGGCTCTAACAGTCAACAAGATAATTCTTGGTTTCAATAAGTTTATAATCTACGTTGCAGGTGGGGAGAGGGGGGAACAAAAATAGAATAGGCAATTATATTAACCTCTGTAAAATACAAGTAGGAACAATTTGTGGGGATTATTCCACACATGGAGGAAATGCAAAACAAAACAAAACAAAAAAACAACATTTTGGGAAGTAGTTTTGCTAAAAACCAATTTTTGATAGTTTTGTCCTAAAGTTGGTATTAAGAGTTTGCAGAAGTGGCGGCCGGTGGGGGGGGGGGGATGGTACGGAAAAACCACATGGAAATCAATGACCTCAGCGCACAGTTCCAACATCTGGCTGCGACAGAATGCCAGCGTGGAGCAAGCTCGGGAATGACAGGACGCAAACACGGAGGCTGCACCGCCCCCTCTCTTCCGGAAGGAAAAGGCGCAGCGACTATACGTAGGGCTGTGAGGCGGGACTTCCGTCCTGAGCAGCTATTAAATGGAAGCGGAGACCCGTCCGCCCAACCCATTTTGTGTGGGTTTACGCGCTAACTCTACGGGACAGTCGGTGTTGGGGGACCCCCTGGCTGTTTGGTCTGCGTAGTCCCCTCACTGCTCTTCCGCTAAGAGGGCACACATTGGGGCCAAACCTTAGGAGAGAGGAGGACTGGCGCCTCCCTGACGCCGGCCATTCTCTGGGCTCCCGCCTTTCTTCCGTGAGGCAGTGTCAGCCGCCAGGAAGTGCCGTTTTCGCCGGTGCCGGTTTTCCCTGGAAACCCTGTATTATTTTCCATCTTCCCTGGGTGGGAGCAGGGGGAGCCCCGCCCGGGCTCCTGCAGTGGTGCAGGCTGTGGTAGGATCGGAATAGAAGGTCTCCCGCGACCCCGCCGCCGAGTGTCGCTGGAGGCCTCATGGGGGTCCAGGGGCTCTGGAAGCTGCTGGAGTGCTCCGGGCGGCAAGTGAGCCCGGAGACGCTGGAAGGGAAGATCCTCGCCGTGGGTATCCTTAACGCATCGTCGGTTCTCGGGTGCAGGGACCCGCGTCAGGCAGTTACTCCCGGCTCCCTTTTTTGGGCCCAGCGTGGTGTTGGCAGGGCGACGGTCTCCCGCGGGGTAGCAGTGGCATCTCCTTCGCGACGTTTTTTCTTCAAGTGTCTGCTTTCCCCCGCTTTGCAGGAGTGCCACGCTGGGCTGCAGTCCTCTGGTTTTATTACTTAGGGGCAGTGCTTTCCTCCTCTCGTCTGCAAAGTGGAGGTAGTAATAGTATCTGCACGCGGGGTTGGTATGAGGAGTAAAGGGGTTATTTAAGTGAAAGCTTAGTTAATATTGTAAAGGTTAAAAGCATCGGTCGGCCTGGGAGGTCAGCGTGGAGTTAAATGAGGCGGACTTCCTACCGGTAGTGTTGCTCGCGGGTCCTGAGTCCTGCTCCACTGCTCCACTTACGCGTATTAGAACAAGGATAGGGTGGACAGGTGTTTGACCTTTTTTTCTTTTTCAAAAGTAACTTTTACAATTTTTTATTATGAGTTTTGGACGAGGGAATTCATGTAGTACAACAGTGAAAAGATTTCAAAAGGTACACAGTGGCCTTTTTTTTTTTTTTTTTTT